TCAGTGAGAATCTACAATGTAAATAGTCATGAAAATAAAGAAAACGCATTGAATGAGAAGGTGTGTCCAAACTTTTGGCCTGTACTGTATAGAGAAAGGCAACGTTTAGAGAGCAAGCCCAAATAAGCAACTCCACTTTAGAAACAAGCCCAAAAAACCACAACACGCGACTACTAATATTTGTAAGCCACTTTACAAAAAACAAGCCCACAGCCGTGGCTAATAAGCAGACCTGACAACCCTGCATGTTTGCTTGTGAATGCCCGCCCTACTCTGCCTCTGATTGGTTTATGATGAAATTTTACTCTCCCTAAGCTAATCATCATCACTTATGCTTCCCCCTCACCTGCCCTCACCAAAGAAGAAAAACTTTAGAGCTCCGCTGAGAAGGAGCTTGCTTGGGTGAAAGCCGCTTCAGTGAACTCCAGTAAAGCCGAGTAACGGCGCATTCTATTGTGAGTAACGGTAACGGTGTTATAACCAGGGAGACAGTAACTTTTTTGATTACTCGTTACTCGTTAGTAACGCTGTTATTCCCATCACTGCTCACCATCTACATGAGTGAATACAACATCTGCTATCACAACAGAAACTGTGACTTTACATTACAGGAATGTCTGTTGTAATATCCTACACATTTGCAAGTTCCAGTATATTTTAAAATATAAGGTTATTGTGTACTGACAGTCCCTGGTGACTGCTGTGCTTCCGACAGCACACAAAGCTTCAGCGAGCCGGGGATGGGGGCAGGTTGCCAGGCGTCAGATCTGTGCAAAGCAATGCAGGGCTCTCAAGTCTCACGCTTTGAGAGTGTGACACACGCATTTTAACCTTTTCACACTCTCACCTGCCACACCTGGTATTTCTCATGCATAAAAAAATTATTATGATAACACTCACAGAGTTACATCACTGTATATGCAGGGACTTCTTGCAAGACGCTGTGGGTACTGTGCTGGAGTTTGCCACGCTCCAGCCAATAAAAATAAGACACAGCTACCCATCAGCCAATCAAAAAATAACATACAGCTACCATCAGCCAATCAGAAAATAACATACAGGTACCTATCAGCCAATCAGAAAATAGCATTGCTGTATCTGGGTAAGATACAGGTGATCTGACTGCAGCAAGAAGAGGGTGCACACACAAGACGGGGGTACCTTATCACGTGTACATTAAGTCATCTCATCATTTGATTTTGTAGCCTACTGAATGAAATTACTTGTTGCACAAATGAGAGCTCATCTCGGGGAATATCAGCTTTTACCTAATAGTTTGACAAGACCACATTTGCTAATGGGGTGGTGGCTTAGTGGATAAAACAGAAGCTTCATGTGCAAGGCTTTTGCCGCAGTGGCTCTGGATAGTCTCCGACCTGTGGCCCCCCCGCTTCATGTCACCTGATACACAGATGCAGGTGTGATAGTATAAGGTTTACCAGAAAATGATGATCCCATACTTCCTGACCGCCCTCTCACATCAAAGATTTTTAGTTTTTCATTTGATAACATCTGTTTTAATCTTTTCAGACATCACTTGTGAGGCTGGTGTGATGCCCCCTCATCTCATTGTAGCTGGACTACCACCAGCCAATGAAACAATGAAGATTGGACATAAATTACAGTTTAGCTGTGATGATCAATATACAATGGAGGGGTCTGCAGAAAGTGAATGTTTACAAACTGGGCAGTGGAGTGCAGCCTTTCCAACTTGCACTGGTATGTTCACTTTCTTTGAAGGCTCCATTTACGCTGATTTCACTCAGTGCTTTATTTGCTTTTTTCATATCACCCATCCTTTCAGAAAAACTTGAATAGTGATTTAAAGTTCAATCCATAGAAGATAGAAAAAATGAATGAGGACAAAATCTAAATATTTTATCTTTGATTAAAGACACAGGAGACGGATGTTGACACATGGAGTACGTCAAATGTCACATTAAGCTCGGAGCATGACACGCTAGTCATGATCATGCTTGTGTGTATTCTTCAACAGCGATAACATGTACAGTCCCCAATATTGAAAATGGTTACATGCCTGGAAATATCCAAGAGTACAAAGAACATGAAGTCCTTCACTATGAGTGTAATGCTGGATATAAACGTGCTGAAGAGAGACCTTCAAAATGCACAAAACTAGGAATAAGAGCAGAGTGGAGCCCCACACCTGCATGCTAATGTATGTATAACCTGATTAATTCAATTTATTGGTTATACCGCACTGATTAGTTCAACTTGGTGCTAACAGATAATATGTTTAATTTCCCAACAAATACAGCAATAAAATGTAAACTGACACTGCCGCCAGTGGAGGGAACCAGGTATGAACCTACTTACAGAAATCTATTTTCACCTGG